AAATACTGAATATAAATGGGGTTTGCTTACAAAATTCTCGCGGGCAAAGCCGCGGGTAACATCTAATCTAATTATATAATTAAGTAAATGTGTAGAAATAAATTTATTTATGTTAATTATAAATTACTTACAAGGATAAAAGTCACCAGTGAACTGATGATTCTAGGTGTAAAATGATAGAAATGAGTCAAGGATAAACCCGCTGAATCAATAATACAAACAATTTTTCTTTCTTGAGTTCTGTGAAAATTTAACTGAAAATCCATTACAAGCATTATTTCACGCAACATCTCAATACCACTTGCAACAGACGTATCCCAATTACCTGTAAATGAAATTGTACATTCAGTTATCGAAATTTATTTAAATAATCTGCCTTCTTTACTTTCCCGGCTGTTATATATAATAGAAAAAAAGTATGGCGATCAGTCAAAATATCACCCTAATAATTTTAAAATTTTTGGACTCAAGAACTACTATATCTTTAAATTTAATAAGAATAGTAAAATTTTACTTTATACTTTTACAAAATATTTATAATATAATTTACATTTCGTAAAACATAAATATGCAAGAGGGAATCGAATTTCGGTTCTATTTCAAGTGCTCCTGATACCAAAAAAAGTAAAAATGTAAACGTATGTACTGGAATTGCATGGAATTTTTATTAATAACCAAAATTCAAACCGAATCGTTACTAAAATTTTTCGTAAATTTTTCTTCCGAAGTTGTGAAAAAATAAAGAAAATTTCTACTTACGAAATTTGTAAACATAAATGTAACTTCCATTCTGATCGAGTTTTGGTAAAAACTGCATCATATTCATGTCTAAAACATGACTCAACTTGGAAGGAAGAAGATTCTTAAAGTATTGGGGATATTCTATTCTAACTTTGAAGTAATTTTTAAGTAACTGGAGAGATCTTTCAATATCATACTTTCTAGCACGAAGAAAACCAAGAAGAAAAATATCATCCATTTGAAATTTAAATCCTTGATCTCCTGTTGAAATCAGAAAGAAAATATCATCATTAGTTTATAATATTTGTTAATTACGAAGTAAAATTTAATAAAATGTTTAAAACTTAATTTAAATGATACGTTATTTATTATGTTAAGTACAAAACAGCTTTACAACAATTAATATTAAAATTATTTAATTTGTTAATGAATGTGTTAATGGTATTAAATTAATAACCTCTTTCTCTACTAGATTTTATAATTGTTAGTTTAAAATGTTATCGTTTGTTTTATAAATAACCACTACAGTAAAAAAAAATCTGTTATTCAACTGTAAATATTGCTACTGTGTTGACAGGAAGTGAAAATCTTACTGCACTTCCTCTCTGACAGTCGTTCTGTGTTGCTGCACTTCCTATCGTAATCGCAAGAGGAAGTATCACGTAGAATCATACAGACAGCTTTAAAGTCGTGATTATCAACTTAGCTACTTTTCAATGCAACAAGCAGGTTGATAAAATGATACATTATATTTAATAAGTAGTAAACATCTGTACTTACTGATAACCTTTTTGAAATCTTTTAACGCGTTTTCATCCCAAGAGAATTCTTCTTTCTCTTCCTTAAATATTGAATTTTCTATGCTTATTTCACTCATATTTTACTGAAAGTTTAAAAGAATTGTTACTACTTAGAACACACGGTTTTAATTATATTTAATTTCTATTGAATCCAATTCCTAATGAAGAGCGAAGAAGTATAAATCCTTGAAGTAAAAAATTGTATTTCTATCTTTAAATATATAATTTAAAATGTAAATGAAGTATAAGCAATTATATGCTAATTGGTATTAATTAAATCTTTGTAAATAATAATTATATAAATGTATTAAAAGTAAAATAACATTTGCAAAACTTCCAATTGTAAATTGTAGTGTAAGTAATCACCTATCCGACTAAAAAAACATTTATATAAATTATATTTCTGAATGAATTTTCAATATTATTTGTAAATGAAAGCACTTATTTGTGACTAAATATTATATTTACAGCAGATATTTAAGCTTGAATAAAAGTGAAATTATAATTTATCTTTTTAAATATATTTTAAAGTAATATTTTATATGCTGTACTGCGTTAATATAAGAACATATCTCGTTCCTTTAAATGTTCTATATATCGAAATCTCATAGTTAGGGACGATCATTTGCATTATTTCTTATAGTAGAAAAGTTGAGCCAAATTTCAATTAATATACTCATATTTTCCAGTTAACAGAAGTGATACAAAGCACTGATTTATTTATTACCAATTAATTGTTTAGAGAGGAAACTTATGAAAATTGTCTGTCTAGTTTTAAAAGTAAAAAATAATCACTTATTTTTATTATATATATACAGATGTTCCACATAATCTTTGTCAGAGTGATACATTTAAAGCCTGAAATAAAGAAAGGCCTTACACCAAAAATCATGCTGCATGATCATTCACACTGAACGAAAGTATTAAGAAGGTTGTTGCTCTACTGTCACAGTTCTGTTGGTGACTCAGTTGTCGATACTGTCTATTAGTTGACGTGGAGAAAGTTTCAAAGTTCACTGTTGATGTTCTCGACGTGCAGTCGTTGCCCTTGAAGTGACGTCAGTCCAGGTGGTGGAGCTGTGTCCGTTGCATTGTCCTCGTTGGGACTGAATCAGCTGGGACTTGCATGCCGAAAAGTTCACAAAGTTCAATATAAACTAAGTTCGAAGTTGCAGAATCGAATGATGCAAAAAGCTGTGGAACTGACTGCTCTCTCCCTCAAACATTGTTTTTTTTTTTTTTTTTTCCATGGCGAGCTTTTGCTTCTTCGCCTATTTAAAACACGCAGGATTTCTAATGCTGCTGCTCCCTAAATATTTGATTTGCGGCGAGACTTTTTTTTCTCAAAGTGCCCTATTCTAATTCTAGGAAGTAGTGCGGATGGATGAATCGGTAGAGGTATGCGACTTCGTGAATGCACTTTTGATCGTGTCGGTATATCTTCTATGGACATGCTTGGTCCTCCTATCAAGGAAATGATAATTAACAAAGCCCGAATCCAGCTTGCAAGAACGCCCAAGCTGGCCCGCAACGTCGATCCTTGATTCTCGTCTTCCCTTTGATTTACTTCTTCTGGTGTGTCTACGTCCGGACCGTCTTGAAACTCCGATGTGGAAGGTTGTTCTGGATAAGGTTCGGTTCCCCACTGTTTCCACGTTGACTCTTCTAATTTCATCTTGACATCCTTCCCTGGGTCAGGTCTTCGGTCCCTCTCGGGGATTCCTGATCGGATAAATCGGACCCGTAACGCAGGATCAACTTCGGTGTCGATCTCGGGGAATGAGAGTCGCTCTTCTTCTTGATTTTGTCTTTTCGGTTTCCCTCGAGGTTTACAGCTTGAACAAAAATGAACAATTTTTCCATTCTGCAACGTAATTTTCTCATTTGTATAATCAAGAATGAGGCCTTTTTACTTTATGAGATCTCTCCCGAGGATCCCTTTACACGGAGCGGTGATTTCTGATCGGACGATTTTGCATGATCTGGAGAACTTGTGTCTTCTAAACATAAAAATAGGGACAGTCATACCTATGGTTGAAATAGAATCTCCATTCGGACCGTCTATCTTCCTTCGTTGTCCAAATTTTACCGGGGCCTTTCCTTTTACTTTATTGGTAACCTCGTTTGACAAAACTGTGTCCTTAAACTTGGGATCTATTCGAAATTTGACTGAAACATTATTGACATACCCCAGGATGATGGGTTGCTTCTTCAGTTGAGTCCTAGTGGTTCTAATAGGCCTAATGCCTCTCCACTTTTCCTCCTCTCCGAATGAGGAATCCGGCTTGTTGTTGTCTATCCGTTGACTCTGTGCTGATGACCTATTTCGTCTTAGACGAGGGTAGGAAATCGGACAACAGTCGTTTCTTTTATCTAGCTGGTCTTTCCTAAGTGAGGACGACTTGCTTGATAATTCAGCTACTCGGGATCGAAGTTCCTCGATAGCGGCGGTTATTGTTTCCCAATCCTCTGCAGATTTTCCTGTATCCGGTTTGACTTCTTTAATAGGTCGGATTTTAAAACCGGGCTGTGCCGTCAAAGTTTCTATACTTTCTTCACTAATTGCTGCTGTAAGTGCGTCATCAAATGTCGTCGGTTCACGTGACATGACTCGCTGTCGGATGCGCATGTTGATCCCATTTAAAAATTGAGCCTTAAATCTTTCGTCTAATTCTTTATCCTGTATGCGCTTAATCATTGCGGTCTCCGCTGCATCTGCTCCCTCTTGCTTTATCTCAATTTCGGTAGCAAGGGCTAATCGCGCTGCGTATATGTCTGTACAGTACATCTTCCTCCGGCTTTTGTACACATGCGTAAAACTTATGAACTCGAAGGTAAAAAGAAACTTTTTCAAAACGCTCCAGCATAATACGCTTAAATTGCTCAAAATCCTCAATGTCTTTGATTCGTCTATCGTTTCTGACGAATTCCCGAGCTATTCCCGTAAGTCTAAGCTTTGCTACTGACAACATTTGCGTTCTCGTCCATCCTGACAATTTTGCCACATCCACCAACGAGTCGAAAAACTCGCTAATGCCGGGACCTTCTGCTTGTCCCGCGAAAGCAGGCAGTAAAGGAACTAAACTACCTAATTCTCCTAACGTTGCGCGAGGATTTTCGCCTTTCATCTCTATGCGACTATATCCTAGTCCTTCTATGCTCCAATGAATAAAATTTGAAAAACCTGTTTACGGCGGACAAAAACTTGTCTGAGCCGAACCTGTCTAAAACGGACAAACCTGTCGAAAGCCTGGAAGTTGGCTTCACCCCACTCCTAACACCAGTGTGAGATAAGCAGTGGGCCACGGGTTAATCCCACAATGACCATTTACTCTGCACGAACTCGTCAAGCCCGATCTCGGCGTCGTCAGATGACTAGGAAGGCAAAAAGTGAGTGGGGTGTGCGTTGGTAAGTTGGCAGGTGCTGTTTAGACAGGAGACAGGTCAACAGAATAGCAAGCATTTATTAATTAACACAACTAAGTTACAAGAATACTAAAGCTAAATGCGATTATATTAAAGTATTTACAGAAATTGGCAACTACGTTCTCAGCTATGTCGCTGTCCTAGTTTCTAGTTTAGAGAGAGAGCGCGTTTATAAAATCTACCCCTAAATACCTCTAGGTGGAAGGGAGAGTTAGCGAACGTCGTCTGTATGGTATGGTGTGGTGTCTTCTATGTTTTCTTTGACGGGATCACAGTCCTTGGCGTGGAGATCGACGAACACAAGTACTAAGTGTGCGGACGCGCCCTGAGCTTCCGGTAATCTCCCCTTTTATATCTTTTCGTGCGAGAGCTGACACGTCATCGACTCTTGTTGACGATGAAGGTGCATTCTTCACACTTATGTGTAATCTATCTCTAATTCCAAAAAATAGAAAGAACGTGCAATATATATGTAAACTTGAAACTTCGAATAAACAACCTCTAGCATGCCTTTGAAAACATTGTTATTGATTTCTTGAAGCAGAGACAAAAAGTCTAGACTGTACCATTCATCACAACATAGTACTAGCATGGGCTATTCATAAAAATCATCCTAAAGTTGCCATCCATCCATTGAACATTAATCTTTTTCATTAAGTATTTAAAAATTATAAAGGCTATATATATTTATGTTAAATACCTGCATGTTACAGCACTTAGTTTAGTTTAAGCGAAACGAAAGGTCTTCTATAAGGCATAACTACTTTCACAAATGCATATATAAAGCACGACGCTAATCATAGTCGTCGTATTATATTTATTTGATTAATTTTACAAAGTAAAGTAAAATTAACCTTTTGTAATTAAACGTTTCAAATTCTGTACATTTTATATAAATTTAAAAATGTTTTAATTGAGGTCCAGCCATCCTTCAGCTGTCATAGAGATATCTGAATTGTAACCACAAGGTCAGCAACTACTCACCAGAATACACAACTTGATAAATGTACGAGTAGTTTCAGTTTATTTTATTTTAATAATTTAAAATAAATTAATACCAAATATTCATCAAAAGTTTAACCCCTTTTATAGACAAAAAACTTAAATTTAATTTGGTTCTATACCTGAGATACTTGAGCCTAAAATATTTATAGTGTTACTTTCCATTATGCACGATAAATAGAAAAGTAAAACGTTCATGGTGTTTACACTTCTAAACGATAACTAAACTATATTAATAAACAAAAACATTTTAAAAATCCAACATATATTTTCTCATTTATATACTTTTACGTAATATGAAATATAAAAATAGATATAGAGGAAATGTTAAGATGCAGTATTTACCTTGAAAAGTGGAGTAAAAAAGTGTTGTGTAACAGGACTAGAATAATTAATTATTCTGATATAAAGTTGCTGCGCGGTTTATCAGGCTTCCTTAGTTGTTTTTAGTAGAAATAACATTACTGAAATAAAATAAAATTTCGGTGTAATATTCAAATTTGCACACTTCATATGTAATTCAATATGGTTCTACGTCAATATGGTTCAAGAAACATTTGGTTTTGAAATATTCTTAGTGTTTGTGTCTGTTTGTTTTCCTTCAAGCGTTATATAACCCGAACTGCGGGTGTGCATTGAATCAATGAGATATACCTTTATATTCTGTTGTTTATAGTTTCACATATATCAATTAATTAAATTGTAAAATATTAAAACACATTTGTTTAAAAAAGGGCGTGCACGCATGGCTGTTGGCATTTTCCTTTTCTTTATTACATTATTACAAATTATGTTTAGTTATAGCACAATATTGTATTAAATTTATAAGATTACAGTTCAAGTTACACACTTTTTTACTGGTTGTAGAATATTTAGTTTTTATATTAATTAAATATGCTTTTTTTTAAACAGTTTTTAAAGGAATTTGGTCAAGCATGCACTCTTACAATATTGTTTTTTAACCTTACTTCACTATCATTACAATACAGAACCGGTCTTTCGTTTTTATTTAGAAGATTGAGAAATTACCGGATTTTTACAATATTTATGCAGTACATTTAAAAAAAATTACAAATTATTAAAAATCGCCTATTTTTTTAGTATTTCTCAGTTGTTATTACATAAATTTACAAGTTTTTGACAATTAACTATTATCTACATATAACTATTTTAAATGCGTTTACAGTTAATTGTTTACTATTCGTATTATTAACATAATTTTTAAATATAATTAATAGACTTGGGGCTAATCTGACGTCAACATTTTTTCTATTTCTTCACTTATTTCTTCGTATAACCCTTTTGTGTACGGGAAAGCTGTGAATTTTATCGTTGACTTTCTGTTCTTTATTTGCATGTTTTTCTTTTTTTTTTTTTGTATTTTCTCTTCCCATAATTCTAAGTAGCCTGTTCGCATGAATTTCTTTCTAAAAAGCCTAAATTTTAATTTGTTTTTGCCTCATTTTATTATTATATCTAAATAGCTTATTTCAGTTGTGTTATTTTTTCTATTGTCATGTCAGTCTCTTTATATATTGTGATGATATCATTAACATAGCTTCTATAAAATTTAATTCTCTTCATTCTACTAATCTATATATATAAAAATGATTGTATGTGTGTGTCTGTTCGTCCTTCATGCATTACCACGCCGTTTATCCGATTGCCGTGAAACTTTGAGAAGTCATTTAATACACTCCAGCAAAAGTTTCTGGCATTTATCCTACGATAGATGGCGCGCGTTTACACGAGCATTCGAGCACTGTGTGTTCGATCGATTTCAAATTGTGAAGACCATTTCCTCCTTCAAAAAAAATCTCTATATATGCATTTGTGAACTGTTATTTACGATATTTGTAATAATTTTTGTTTAATCACTTTATTTCAACTTTTTTTTGCTAATTATGTATTCGCTCGAACTTCGTTAAAACCTTAACTGTACCCCGAACAACAACCGAAGTTGTAGGAAGAAATTCGCGTATTTTACCGATCTAGGTATCCCCCCTTTTCCAAATTTTAATATCGACTCAAAATAATTTAAAAAGACAAATTACAATAAAACGGTTTATTATCCAACTATCAGAAATTTCACAACATGCCAAGGAAGAGAGGAAGGAGCAATTAAATAATTAAAATAATAAAGGATTAAAAATATATATATATAAATGGGGAATATCGCACTTCTGACAATCGCTGCAAGTGTGTGGGCTAAATTTGGAGAATCCGTGCTTCTCGCATGAACAACTGTATAAAAACCTTCTGATTTATTCGTGTATGCACCAGACGGAAAAACAAAAAATATCGTCTATCTACAAACACTCCAATAAATAAATAAAATTAAAACGACACTTTGAAATGTTTTCCGGATGAAAATGAATAATAATGATAATAAGTTTCAGTAAAAATTATAAAATGTAAATTGAATTTTATCATAACTAATTTGCTTGAATTTTCTTTCTTCTGAGATCGCAGCAATGCGCGACGGATAAGCTAGTGGCTTTATAAATTTCTTTCATAACTAATTCTGCTAATTTTGGTCTTATCACAGATCCCATACTTATGTCGTGTGTTTGTGTATAATATTTATCTTCTATGACGAAATAGAATATGGCGGAAAACGCTACTTGATCGCCGAGATTTCCAGGATTAAACAGAAAAATGATAATCGATGCAAAACAAAACTATCAATGTGTGAATTTAATAAAAGCAATGATAAGACGTATAAGAGGGAAATATGGCACGAAATAAGACTTATAAGAGTGGAAGAGATGCCAACTTCCCCTCTTATATATCTACAAATAATATATAAACAGGTTTCACTTTATCCCGCCATATAAACATTTTATTTTCTTTTGAAGGTTTAAATTAATACTTAAGTAGAATTAATGTGACAAGCAAGTTGACAATAATGTAATAGCCCCTCGTTATGTCTCGCGACGTCATTATACCCCGATATAACGAAAATATTTATATAATAATACATACACTTGCTATTATATATAAACTAAAAATTATTTTCGTATTTGTTTTCATATTATTAAAAATCAAAATCGTTGTTTAATTATGCATTGACGTCAAAGTGAATTGCCTCATTTATTACACCATAAAAAAACTAGTTATAAAAATAAATATTGGTTATACTTCTGGTTTTTTATTAATGAAAAAAAGCTTCTCATGTACAGGTACAGTATCTAATAATATTTTCCAGAGTCGTATACAGTTAATAAAATAAAAACTATTCCATGTGTGGCTAAGATTAATAAATATTTTGTTTTAATTTACTATCTTCTTTCTGATATTTTGACTGTTATAAAACTTATATTTAGTAATTCTTCACTATGTTTCTACCCTTTGATGTTTAAATATATGCATAATTAATTAGTTACAAGCATGTTTTAATTCTAACACGACGTCATTTTAAACTACCCTTTTCTATTGGACAATATATCCAAATATAATTCTGTTTACGCAATTAATATTCTTTACTCTTTCACGTAACGAAAGGTAAGTAGGCAATTTAATTTTTATTACGTTCGGTTACAAGGTGTAAATTTGTACAATTCAGCAATTATTATTATGCATTTCGTACACATTAACAAATTATTACAATTATTAGAAAAATATATTATATAAGTTATATAAAAGTTATGGTATTGTGTATTTAAAATATCCTACAACTGCTTAATACAAAACTTTATTATAGCTATAATAATAATAACTAAATATATTTATGAAAATTATTTGATAAATTACATTTGTAATCATCACACTACTATATGAAAGCACAAAAACAGATTTTCCTCTAAGTTATTAATAAAATTAAAGCTGTAAACAGTCAATATTTTCATCTGTTATTGTAAGGTTTGCCGACGTTGAGGGGGAAAAAGTCTATCTCGCGTCAGAATGAGCCTAAGGGAAACCGCGTATGTAGGCAGTGGCGAAGGAGGCAAATGATGCACAAGTGTTTTACAAGATAAAACCCGTTTATTTGTTCGAATTCATGCTTACATCGATATAGGATAATTCCAAAATCTCCTGGGAACGGCGAAAGTTCGTGATCTCGGTTGCAGTTCGGGCGGACGAGAAGGATATCCGGACGAAGCAGAAGTTCGTCGTTTCGTTGCGGTGTCCTCGGTGAGCGGCGGATGCACAACACAAATTTAATCACCACTGTAGGGTTAATCCGGAGGAGACTCTTCTTCGACCTTGAAGTTCCGATTTTTATAGTTTTTCCCCCACTGTTCGC